AGATCCCTGCGAACGGGGAGAAAGAGAGAATTGGGCCTCGGTTTTGTACTTGGTTTTTGTCGAAATTAAAAGGTTATATTCATCTAGTTGTGGCCTGACGAGGTTTCCTCCCGCCTGGCTGGTGACTCTGGAAAAGCTGAAGCCACCCTCCCTAAAAGGCCATGGCTGCTCCTTCTTCCAGCTCTGAACTGGGAAAACCACAGCTGGGGATCAGGCTTTCCCTGCCCGGCTTGGAAGACTCTGCCCTCTCCCCCCTGAAGCTCAACACCCACCTTTCTCCTCACTGCTTCCAACACTCTGGCCCAGCCCTTGCATCCCCCTGCCTGGAGCAGCTCCCGTTATCCCAGCTCCTGGAGCAGGGCATGGAGGGCTCACGGCCCCCACAGACCCACACCCCAACACTGGGTCCCCCCCGGTGCTGGGAGGGGATGGGTGACGCATTTTTCCACAGTGAGGAAGCTCTGGGAGAGCAGAGGAGTGACGGATGGGGGAGAGGAGGGTTTTTCAGGCTTTATTTGGAAAGCTACACAAAAGGGCTTTGCTGATTAAAAAACAAACCCCAGCCTTAAAAAAATAAACCACCAAACCCAAAGACATGTGAACAAGCCAACCCTGCTCAGAGAGCCACTGCCAGAGCAACTCATCCTCCCCTCCCTGGCCCAAACCAGGCATTGCTCCCGGCTTTGTCCCTCCTGGATGGGGAGGGAGATCTGGGACAGTGGCCCCAGTGAGCTCTGCTGCCAGAGGGACTCCTGTGCCCACCGTTGCAGGAACAGCCTCATCCTGCCACCCAAACAGGCCTGTTCCTGCTTCCCCAGCCCCACAGCTGCTCCATGCCCAGGGGAGAGGAGGAACCAGCAGGATCAGAGCACAGGGGACAGGGAGAAGCGCTGGTTGGAAATGAGTAAAGTAGCTCCCTGCTGGGATAACTGGTGGGTAGAGGCCACTGCCAGCCCAGTGGGCAGGAAACTGCCAGTGCTGTGGGGTCCCTGCCTGGAGAGGTACCTTCCAGGGGCCCTGCCAGGTTTTCCAGGCTCTCTGCAGAAATCAGGGACAAAGGGACACGTAGTGCCTGCGCTGCCAGGCTTGGGAGCAGTGGCGTGAAGGGGGTTGGTGTGGAGCTCTGCCACAGCTGCCAGGCTCCCAGCAGGAATGGCACAGGGCCCTGCTCCACACACAGCAGGGACCTCTGAGTGCCTTGCAGGACAGGCTCCCTCAGGAAGGGGTTTAAGGCTTGCTTTGTTTTCCAGAGCGAGGGAAGGGGAGCTCCCCTTCCAGTACCATCACTCTTTTTTCCTTGTTTCCGAGCCACTTCCAACACCACCTTCCACAGAACACAGTGGCAACGGTCCACGCTGGCTCAGGAATGAGTCTGTGCTGCCTGTGCCCAGGAGGGTCGTACCACAGGGGAGGGCCCCAGCCCAGCCCAGCCCAGCCCCAGTCAGCACGGCCGGTGCTCCCTGTCCTCCAGGAGGAGCTCAGCCGGTGCCTCCCGGCCCAGGTATCCCGCTCCAGCAGGAGCTGCCTCGTGGAAGCTCACAGCTCTGCCATTGCTGGGAAGTTCAGGGTGGGTGGGGGTCCAGGACCCCTCCTCCCCATCCCGGGCAGGCTCTGGGTGCTCACACTCCATCTCGGCCTCCTCCACGTCCTTCTCCCGGTACAGCGGCACCGACTCCATCTCCAGGCCGCTCTCCAGGGCTCGGTGCTTCCCGCCCTGCTGGTACCACCTGCAGCTGGGGGAGCTGGAGCAGGCCAGGTCCAGCCCCACGTCGTTCCTCGTCAGGCAAACCTCCAGCATGTAGTAGAAAGTCCAGAACACGGCGAAGCATCCCAAGAGCAGGAGGGTCTACGGAGGGGAAACCCCTTGAGAAACGCCACCCTCGACCCCCCCGAGCCCTGCCCACTGCCCAGCAGAGGGGTCACAGTGTCCCAGGCAGGGTCCTGCTCCTCCAGCCCATCCTGGGGGATACAGGGACCCCCTGGCTCGCAGGCAGGCTCACCTTGAGGGTGTTGGCTGTGATGGTGTAGTGCTGCTCCTCGGGGATGTCCAGCCCCGGGGGACAGGGCAGGGAGAAGTTGCTGCTCAGGTACTGCCCACTCATGGCTTCCTCCAGCAGCCTGGGGACAGAGGCACCCTGTGCAGGTCCTGCAGGCAGAGGGGCTCCAGGGAGGGTCCCAAATGCCCACCAAGGGTCTGCAGTGCCTCTTTCAGCAAACAGTGCTGTGTTCTGCAGCCCACGGCTGCCCTGTGAGGTGTGAGGGCTCCTGCCATGCACCTTGCAGCAACACGGCTCCACCGAGCAGCACCTGCTCACAGGTATGGGCAACACCCCTCAGCCTCCTGCTCCTGCTCCCCACCAAGCCAGGACTGTGGTGCCCTACCTGTGCCGTTCCCTCATCTCTGCCGGGGACCAGGAGGAGCCGTACAGGGTCAGCTGCCACTGCTTTAAGGTGCCAGGCCTCAGGCTCTCATCTCCTGGGGAAGAAGCAGGTTGGTCCAGCGGGGAACTCTCCCAAGTGATGAGCTGGCAGCTGCCTGGGACATGGCCCAGAGCTGCCACCCCCCCGGGAGTGTCCCCTGGCAGGCAGGACTCACCGATGTCCCTGACGAGCAGCCTGTACGTGCCCTGCGCCCCCTCGCCCCAGCACCGCACCGTGGAGAAGGTCCAGTCAGAGAAGCCATTGGGGTCCCTGCCAAGGGGTGAGGGGAAACGACCCATGAGAGGGTCATGGAGCCTGAGCCACGAGGCTGACACAGGCCCCGGGGTCCTGCCCTCCCCAGCCTGACCCCTCGGTGCTTACGAGTCCATGCTCCGGGTGGTCCCAATCAGGGACATCATCCCACTGGGGCAGAAGAGCCTGATCTCCAGGTTGCCACGGCGGGGGTGGGTTATGGTGACAGTGACTGCCACATGCTCCAGGGTCCTCATGCCAGACAGCTCCAGGTCAGCGGTGGTGACTGGGAGAGGGTGACAGGGTTTGCTGAGGCTGGTGGCCAACATGGAGTCCCCACTCCCAGCCAGCCCCATTTAACAGGACCTGTGTGGGACTGGGAGGAGAGACTAGGTGTCTAGGCTCCCTGATCCCATTTCAAACCACTCCCAGTCCCACGGATCCTCACAGCCCCAGAGCTGCCAACCACAGCCCAGGGAGCCTGGCATGCTCCAGAGTGAGCTGTGGCTATGGCAGGGCCTGCTCCTGGCAGGTGGGTGCTCCCTGGGTGCACCTCTGCCAGCAATACAGCTGGGACAGTGAGAGGTGCAGGGCCAGGCTCCCAGGACCAGCATCTCCAGTGAGGCATGGAGGGGGAATGTGCTCAGCCTCAGGGCAAGGAGCTGTGCCCAGCAGAGCCAGGAGCTGCAGGGGGGCCGGGA